AATTGTACTATATTTAGTTTAAAGTAGGAAGAGCGAAAGCTTCCGTTGGAAACGAACTAAATCCCAAAACGGCTAGTACACCACTGCTCTCCCAGGTGTAAGCTAGTCCGACATCAAGAAATGGTGTAATAACAACTGTATATTTGACCCGTCACTTTACCCTAGCTCCGGCCTATTATTACATAATTGATCTTGATCAAGTTAAATTAACAAATTAAAATAGATATGTAAACAAAAACTTGTATAAATGCAATAATAATAACTGTTCTTCCCGCTTTATTATGCTCTGATACAAGCAAAATAATTCGACGCTACTTAATTAATTCTGATAATAATAATAAAGACACAAACACAACCGAACTACGAACGGAGATATTAATTTGCTAAATTACTATTTGTTTGACCGATTGTAAAGTATTTTAACCAAGAATTAAGATAGAGGTTAAGTTGTTTTTAGCAAATTGGTTATTAAGCGTTATTATTATTTCTTAAATTATTAGAATCCGATTCAGCGAGAGAACGAATACTAATACAGACTGAGATGTGTTGTACTAAAGGTTAAACATAACGCTAATTCAAGGCCAAGTAATTCCAATTATGCAGTCTCCTGATTAATCAGTATCACAATATACAATATGTGGTGCACTTGTTCTGAAGTTAACAAACATTATCTTAGTTTGTAAAATTATTGTTACAATATGAATCAATTATTACTGTCATGGGTATTCCCTGTGATCATAAACTATAAAGTGTATGCATAGTAGACTTAAAGTCCTTATTCAATGACTGTTTAACACTTTATTGTTATCCAAACTGATTAGTTATAAGTTATTAATATTAAGTAGGTAATTGCGTTATATATTATGTTATTGTCATTATTATAGATGTGTTGACAAAGTGTAAATTTTGGTCAACTTGAATTATTTTAATGTAAAGAGTAACAACCATACAAATCTAGAGATCAGTATGTCTGATTTTACTTATGCAATTAGGTAAATTTGAGAAATTAGACTCTGAAATCAAGTTTATTTATTATTAATTTTAATTTTTATAAAACTAGAGATAGAGTTATGTATGTAATATTCATTTATTTACTTTATTTATTCCATGTGATTGGCATCTCTTATAAAACTTCTAGTTTGGTTAATTAATCCGAATTTACACTTTTCATAAAATAATCAACTCTGGGAATTTGAGTATTCAGCTTAGCTTTTGTCTCAGCAGAAAGTGCTCCAGTTCCTTTCAAATAAACTGACTGTAAACTATTTCCCATATAATCTAATAGTGTATTAACAAGACTGTCATTAAGATCATCAACTCTAAGAGAAAATGATTCAAGGCTTGCTGAACAAGTGGACAAAAATGTAGTAAATGCTGCTAATGGTAGTTTACAATAAGCATCCAGCTTGAGAAATTTGACAGATGCTGGCAAATTTGTCCCAGCTAATGATAAAATATTTGATAATAGTTCATGTGAGTCCTTATTATTATGGGGTTCATTAATAACAATACATAATTTCCTTAAATTCTGCCACAATGGAAGAGCCATTTGTATAAATTGAACATAGTCTTCCAGATCCAACTGAATTTTTAAATAACTAAGATTTGGTGCATTTTTTGCACATTTTCTCCATAGCTCTGCATTGTAATCAGCATTCATCTCAATATAGCATATACAAAGTGTTTCCAGACATTCTTTTACATTTCCAAGTAATGCATCAATGCCATAAAAGTTGGTTTCAATCTCATTTATTTTTAAAACTCTAAGATTAGAGAATGCATCTGGTGGCAATTCCAAAGGACAGGTTGGAGACAATGTACAATAAACCAACTTAATATAATGAAGTTTGGCAAGCTGACCAAAGGTATCTATCAACTTGCTTATTTCCGTGCCTGCAAATAGAATTTTTACTTTTATAAGGGTCTTTGCTTGAGTATACAATGCTTTGCAGATTGACTTCAGGTTGGTCCCAAAGAATGAAAAATTGAGATTGAGATATGCAACCTTTAAACTTTTTTGATTGCCAATAAGTTTACTGATAGCATCACACCATTTAATACCATCAATATACATACAATTTTCAGACCAAGCAATCTCAAATAGTTCAAGATTTGACAATTTCTCTGCTGCACTATATAAGATATCTGGAGGAAATTCTTGTGAGAATCTAAGTTGCTTTAATTGGTTAATATTTGTCACTGAGTCTTTGAGGTTGAATAAGTTCCAGGATCTAGCAGTCCATTTGTAGCCGTAATATCCAATATCATGTCCAGCCATATCTATTTCCATTAATAAAGGACAATTTTTGACCATTCCCCTACAGATCCTTAGAGACAGCAAACGGATATCCGTATCATTCACAATATCAAAATAATCTGCAAGAAAGCATTCTACTGCTTCTATGCAACACATAATGTTCATGGTCCGGACAAAACTCAGGTAGTTGAACATTGGTTGCATATTTTGAGCTGGTATGTGAATTCCGATCACATATTCCAAATCTTCAAGACAATCATTAGGCAACAGTCGTAGAAATTCAATAACCATCTTAACTGCCCTATGACCATTCCAGTAAAAAGGTGTTCGCCATAGGTATGCAACTGCACATTTACACCACATGCGGTTCACAAGTAAGCATGAATGAAGGTCCGCGCTGCTATCAGACAGTTCAAAAATTATCTGTGCAACACAAAGGAAGGGAAGGTTCGACATATCCAGGTTTTCTGACATATTGAGTATGAGCAAACGTTTAGGGCAGATGGACAATATCTAATGTTGGATATGTGTTCTAGGGAAGCAACTTAGCTATTGTAAAAGCCGTATGCATGCTTGATAAGATCTCATCTCAATAAGCGCTGTTGTCACACATTGCTGCGGATAGTTTGTTACACGATCTCGCACAAGTTTGATTTATACGATAACATTAAAAAACAATAATTACAGGTCTGGTGAATTTCAACGGTGTGAAGTTTCACATAATTCATACCCCACGTGGTCAATAACTTCTCCTACAGCGATCCCTTTCCATTACAGCACCAATTGTAAATCTGAACCCATTTTCATTATCATTACTACTTAATATATTTACTGACTTACTGCCCATCGCATACTACTAATACTAATTCGAACCAACGACATACAGAAGCGGTTATAGTAAGTATGGATCTCTGTGGTGAAAATAAACTTTTGTCCATAAGCTAAGCGTATATAATTATAATCAGTTAGAATAACAATGCTAGAGGCTTATTCGCAGAGATTAATGTTATGTTCGTGTCTATGATCTGTATAGCGGCTATGCTGAGGAATTTATAATAATTATATGCGAGATGACTTTTCTGTATAAGTCAATGTATCCAAATAGAATATACACTTCATAAAATCTATCGTTAACCTCAGTGAAATTAGTGTTACAAGGGAGTAGCACCGAGGCGATGCATCTTTTACGATGCCCATTTGTCTATGTCGTTTGTGAGTGAACGTCGATTATTGAATTGAATCGTATAGGCTTGTTTCTGGACTATAATTGATAAGCTCCTTCCCACTAATCCAGTTAATTCCTCTCTTTATTGAACCTCAAACTATTTGAGTTACAACCTCATAAGATAAAAATAGAATTTAAGTTAGAATAATTAGTAATTCTGATCATATACATAATACTTACACCATGGACAGTACTTTCTGTAGTAATATTACAGTATTTCGAACGAAAGTTTAACCGTATGTGCTTGTTTCGGGCCGTATTATTTCATCGGCAATCATTTCACCGACAGTACATTTCACCGACAATTAACTACCAAAAAAGGATAACTTCGAAATATTGTTGGTGAATATTTGTCGGTGAAATGATTGTCGGTGAAATGATTGTTGATGAAATGGTTGCCTCCCGCTTGTTTCTGAAATCAATAAATTTTCGGACAATTTGAGATGTTGTTTAGAATTCTAAGGAAAATTTTACGTTTTCAATGATGATCGTCATGTGACCAATCCTTTTGGCCAGTATGTGTACCTATTTATATTATGTTTAATCTATCTATTGAACCACTCTTTAACTATATTCGATCTTTTCCTACCTTAGTTATCCGGGCTTATGCAGAT